CGTGTTACGTTAAATCCGCCATACGATACATTTTAACGCAAAAATTTTGCCTCACCTCACACGATTCGTCCGGGACATTTCCCACGCGTGGCCTCAGCTGGCTCGTGGGTGCCAGTGTTTACAAGCCAGCCAGTGTGGTCGCATCCACGCATACATTCGGTACATCTCACCTTATCCCAGTGTTTTTTGTGCTTGTAACTGCAAAATAAGTCACCATGGGCCCCAAGAAAGCTTCTAGTGCCAACCCTGCAGTAAAAAGGGTGAAAATTACTATGGAAATGAAGAAAGAGATAATTGCTAAGTACGAAAGTGGAATGTGTGTCTCGGAGCTGGCCAGGTTGTATACCAAACCCCAATCAACTATCGCTACTATCGTGGCCAACAAAACGGCAATCAAGGAAGCTGTTCTTGCAAAAGGTGCAAGTTTGTTTTCAAAACAGAGATCGCAAGTACTCGAAGATGTTGAGAGACTGTTATTGGTGTGGATAAACGAAAAACAGATAGCAGGAGATACCATCTCTCAAGCGATCATATGTGAAAAGGCTAGGAAGTTGCATGAGGATTTAATTAGAAAAATGCCTGAAACTAGTGGTGATGTGAGCGAATTTAAGGCCAGCAAAGGTTGGTTTGAGAGATTTAAGAATCGTAGTGGCATACATAGTGTGATAAGGCATGGTGAGGCTGCCAGTTCGGACCAAAAAGCGGCTGAAAAATATGTGCAGGAATTCAAGGAGTACATAGAGGCTGAAGGATTGAAACCTGAACAAGTGTTCAATTGTGACTAAACAGGCCTGTTTTGGAAGAAAATGCCAAACAGGACCTACATTACTCAGGAGGAAAAGGCACTCCCAGGACATAAGCCTATGAAAGACAGGCTTACTCTCATGATGTGTGCTAATGCTAGTGGTGATTGCAAAGTGAAGCCTTTATTGGTGTATCACTATGAAACTCCCAGAGCATTCAGGCATAACAACGTCCTCAAGGCTAATTTGTGTGGGTGCTGTGGAGGGCAAACAGTAAGGCATGGGTCACTAGGGACTTTTTCTATTGACTGGTTACACCATGCATTTGCCCCCAATGTGAAAAACTACCTCCTGGAAAATAAATTGGACCTTAAGTGCCTCCTGGTATTTGACAATGCTCCTGGTCATCCTACAGACTTGGCAGAGCGACTTTCTGGGGACATGAGCTTCATTAAGGTCAAGTTTTTGCCTCCTAATACCACTCCTCTCCTGCAGCCCGTGGACCAGCAGGTCATTTCAAACTTCAAAAGACTCTACACAAAAGCTATGTTTCAAAAGTGCTTTGAAGTGACCTCAGACACTCGATTGACTCTAAGAGAGTTTTGGAAAGATCACTTTAGTATCCTCAGTTGTGTAAACCTTATAGGTAAGGCTTGGGAGGGAGTGACTAAGAGGATCTTGAACTCTGCTTGGAAGAAACTGTGGCCAGAATGTGTAGACAAAAGGTATTTTGAAGGGTTTGAGGCTAACCCTGAGAAACGTATGCCAGTTGTGGAATTAGTTGTGGCATTGGGGAAGTCCTTGGGGTTGGAGGTTACTGGGGAGGATGTGGAAGAGTTGGTGGAGGAGGACAATGAAGAACTAACCACTGATGAGCTGCAAGATCATCTTCAACAGCAAGAGGCCAGACCTGAGGAAACTGCTTCGGAGGAGGGGAGAGAGAAATTGAAGTTGTCTACTTCAAAGACTAAGGAAATTTTTGCAAAGTGGCTTGAAGTGCAAACCTTTATGGATGAAAATCACCCTCAGACAGCTATTGCAAGCCATGCTGGTGACTATTACAATGACAATGTTGTGAATCACTTTAGACAAATCATAAAGGAACGAGAGGTACAGAGCTCTATGGACAGATATGTTGTGTGACAGAGGTCCAGTGACTCTCAAGCTGGTCCTAGTGGCATTAAAAGAAGAAGGGAAGTAACCCCGGAAAAGGACTTGCTACTTAAAGTCCTAATGGACGGGGATTCCCCTTCTAAACAATAACAACTTCCACACTCTCCCCTCCTCCCATCCCATCAATCATCACCAGATCTTCAATAAAGGTGTCATGTATTCTATTCTTAGTAGAGTATTAGCTGTGCATGTCTTCTTCAGTCTGTGTGTATTAAAATTAATATTTCATGTGGTAAAAAAAATTTTTTTTTTAAATACTTTGGGGTGTCTTGCACGGATTAATTTGATTTCCATTATTTCTTATGGGGAAAATGAATTCGCCATACAATAATTTCGGCATACGATGAGCTCTCAGGAACGGATTAATATCGTAAGGCGGGGGTCCACTGTACTGCCAAGATTCTTCAAGCCACACAAGCTGCCTCTACCACTTATCTGTCAGCTCCTGCCGGCGACTCAACCAAGATTCTTTATTCTATCATGTATGCTCATGTACAGAATGTAGTTGAACCTGGCTCCTTCAACACCATCATCAACGAACTATTCAAGCTGAACAGTATGCCTGGTTTTACATTCCCTGCATCCCCACCCTCCACTGAGATCATAAAATTTACTGCAAATATCACCAACATCACTGCTGCTCCACCACTACCACAACCTCCAGTCAACCCAGAGATGGACCAATCAGAGACTGCTGAGACATTGGCAAATCCCACCAATGAGAGTCCACCACCACCAGCTTCTACCACTACCGCAACTGACCAATCAGATGCCTTGCCTCGTCCAGCTCAGCCACCACTGCCAACCCCACCGATCCTCACCTACAATGGAGCCACATTCTACACCACGAAACAATACAGCAAAGCTATGCCCTTCCCAGAACTTAGCCAATGACTCCAGGATAACACTGCAAAGTTCACCTGTCACGAAAACCCACCTGCTACCCTAGAATCCATACTCTACCACCTCAACAATAAATTATACTCCAACTCCAAAATGAACGTACTGCACCTCTCAAGAACAAGATTCAATGCAGTCTGCAATGGCTCCAACAACTGTTCAACTGCCTTATCACCACCTACCAACAGCTAAAGTCCCCCAGCACTTTGCTATTTAGCTAAAGCTGGGGTGTGGCTCCAATCGACCCTGTTTTTCCAGTCACCACTGCCCTGCCAGCCATCTCCTGCCTGTAACCTGAAGCCCAACCCAACACGCTACCTGAACACCTCACACCAACACAACTCCCTGCAGTATCTCTGCACAACTTGCCCAGAGTGGACGGGCCACTCACTTTTATTACCCTTCCTCCTCCACCATCCCAACCCCTTCCCATATTTCCATCCTACTCCATCCTTCTTCCTTCCCCATCTTACCGACGCTCAGGTCAGCTCCAGTTCCAGTTCCCTACCCCCTCCTATATTCCACCCCAGATTTATACACCCTCTTCATCATCTTATCTTTTTCTATCCTCTCCACATTCTCATACCCACTCAGCAACCCCTCCTCAGTCTTCTGAATTACACCCTTGGCTACCCTACTTAACTTAACCTTTTAACCCTTAAACGGTCCAAATGTATATACACGTTCACTTGCACAGCGCCACGAATATTTTGACAAAACAAATCTTTTTTATATATATGTATATATATATATAAAAAGAGCACAAGGTACAAAGTGGTCCCAGATTTTTTTTAATATGGTGCACACCGAGTGTTAAGACCCATTCTATGCTGACCAGGCATCTCAGGGTAATCGTGCCAAATTTGGAGGCAGGAAAATTAAAATGTACATATGCATTTAGAGCGCTACACGTAAGGACGTATATATACGTTTAGACCATTTAGGGGTTAATTTCTATGCTCCAAATTCTCTTGCATAATATTTACACACCACTTTTCTGTCAAACATAACATCTCTACTGCTAGCCTCCTTTTCGATGCAGTATTCAAAACCCATATTTTTACCTCCATAGGTAAGCTACTGTCTTTCCACAGATGCCTCAATATTCCATCTTCCTAACGTTATCCTTATCTATTTTCTGGATCACCTCATCTTTCATAGACCCATCTGCTGATATGTTCACTCACAAAATATCTCAATACATTGACCTGCCTCAGTGGGAAACTTCCATTATGCTAAGAAAACATCCACTTCCACTTTCCCTTCAGCTTGATAGTCACTAACATTGCCTTTCCCTTTTTGTTACCTTCATCACCTTGCTTTTTTCTGTCTTCACTTTTAATTTCTTACTTTTACATACTCTCCTAGAATATTTGTATTCTACCACTGTAAAAGAACTTAATTGTGTACTTAATAATGTAAGATTGTAAGAGTGAAACATTGCCTATTTGTATTCTACCACTCTTCACCTGTCTACACTTAAGTAGTCTATAAATATTAGGTTAAGTCTGCCTGAAGTGCCTCAGCATGTTAGTGGCTTTCTTTACTCCAGTCATATATGTAAACACACATTATAACCTTAGTAAAGAAATAAATATGTTATTTTATTTTATTTTTATTTAATCTTGTCTTCAAAATCTCTAAAAGAACTGTGACATCAGCAAAGAGCAACTCTGATAAATCCCACTTTGTATCAGATTCAGCATCCTTTACTTCCACACCTCTCCTTCAATACCCTAGCAGTCACTTCTTTTACAACCCAGTCTGTAAATACATCATTGAATTATAATAATGACATCACTCATCTTTGAAGTCCTACTTTCAATGGAAAATAATCCTCCTCAGCCTCACTACCTGCTCATGTATAATCTTTACTGCTTTTAATAACCTACCACCTATTCCATACACTTCCAACATCTCCCACATGACTTCCCTATCCTCCATATCATATGCCTTTTCTAAACTCATAAGTGCAACAAACAACATTTATGGATTTCAATGTCAACACTTGATCTTCACATCCCCCACCATTCCTAAATCCTTCCTCCTCTGTAATCCTGTATCTTCATAACACTAATCTTTTATTTTATGATTATTATTGCAAAATTAGTATTTGTTGCAAGAAATTATTGTTCTTCGTTTTAATTATTATTGGAGGCTTTATTGATAACTAATTTTTTTCAGATTCAGACATGGTGCGTGTCCGCAGATCAACATCTGAAAATGAATGTCCAATTTGTATGGATCAAGCAAAGTTTGCTGTGGAAACAAATTGTGGCCACATGTATTGTGGTAAGATAAAATATTAATTGTTGTATTGATTTGTTAATAGGTGACTAAGTGCCAGGAATTGTACACTAATGATTCTTCCTGAGCTCTATAAATGGTTACCATGTAGACTGAAGAAAATTAGGTTAGGGATCATGTTGCAATTTTTTTGTTTTCCACATTGTATCTGTCTCCACCAAGAGTATACCTGGAGAGGGTTTTGGGGGTCAATACCCCCGCTGCCTGGTCTGAGACCAGGCCTCGTGGTGGATTGGGGTCTGATAATCCAGGCTGTTAATGCTGGCCGCATGCAAACCAACATATGAACCACAGCCTGGCTAATCTGGTACTGACTTTGGGTGCTTGTCCAGTACTTTCTTGAAGACAGCCAGGGGTCTACTGGTAATCCCTGTTATGTATGTTGGGAGGCAGTTGAACAGTCTTGGGCCCCTGACACTTATTGTGTTGTCTCTTATCATACTCGTGGCACCCATGATTTTCGTTGGAGTAATATTGCATCTCCTGTCGAGTCTTTTGCTTTTGTGGGAAGTGATTTTCATGTGCAAGTTTGGTACTAATTCCTCTAGGATTTTCCAAGTGTATATTATCATGTATCTCTCTCCCTTGATTTGTATTCCAGGGAATACAAATCAAGGGACTTCATCCATTCCCAGTAATTTAGGTGCTTTATCGTACTTACATGTGCTGTAAAAGTTCTCTGTACATTCTCTAGGTCAGCAATTTCACCTGCCTTGAAGGGGGCAGTTAGTGTATAACAGTATTCCAGGATAGAGAGAACAAGTGATTTGAAGAGAATCATCATGTGCTTGGCATCCCTGGTTTTAAAGGTTTTCATTATCCATCCTATCATTTTTCTAGCAGATGAGGTAGATACATCGTTATGGTCTTTGAAGGTGAGATCCTCCAACATTATCACTCCTATGTCCTTCACATTACTTTTTTGCTCCATTGTAAAGTTAGAATTTGTTGTATACACTGATACAGTTTTAATTTCTTCAAGTTTTCCATATCTGAGTAGTTGAAGTTTCTCTTCATTGAACTTCATCTTGTTTTGAGTGGTCCATTTGAAGATTTGGTTGATGTCCACTTGGAGTCTTGCGGTGTCTTCGATGGAGGACACTGTCATGGCAATTCGTGTCATCTGCAAGGAAAGACATGGAGCTATGGCTTACATCTCTGTCTATGTCAGATATGAGGATGAGGAATAGGATGGGAGTAAGTACTTTGCCTTGTGGAACAGAGCTTTTAACTGTAGCTGCCTCAGACTTTACTCTATTTACTATTACTCTTTGTGTTCTATTTGTTAAGTTATAGATCCATCTACCAACTTTTACTGTTATTTCTTTATCAAGCATTTTGTGCGCTATTACACTGTGATCACATTTGTTGAAAATTTTTGCAAAGTCTGTGTATTCCACATTTGCATTTTCTTTATCCTCTGTAGCATCCACAACTTTGCCATTGTGGTCCAGTAGCTAGGACAGGCAGGAGTGACCTGCTCTAATCCCGTGTTGCCCTGGGTTATGTAATTGATGGGTATCTAGGTGGTTGGCAGTCTTTCTTCTTAGAACCCTTTCAAAGATTTTTATGATATGGGATGTTAGTGCTAACGGTCTGTAGTTCTTTGCAATTGGTTTATTGCCACCTTTGTAGAGTAGGGCTATGTCTGTTGTTTTTAGTGAGTGTGGGATGACCCCTGTGTCCATGCTCACTCTCCATAAAATCTTGAAGGCATCTTGATAGGGGCATCTTGCAGTTCTTGATGAACACGGAGTCTGGGCCTGGGGCAGAGTGCATGGGTACGTCATTTATTGCCTTTTCAAAGTTTTGTGGTGTTAGGATAATATCAGAGACTTTTGAAGTGACGAAATTTTGGGTCTCGGTCATAAAGAATTCATTTAGATTGTCGACCCTTAGTCTGGTTAATGGCTCACTGAACTCTGAGTCATATTGGGACTTTAGTATCTCATTCATTTCTTTGCTGTCATCTGTGAAGGTTCCATCTCGCCTAAGCAGAGGCCCAATACGTTATGTTATTTTTCCCTTAAATTTGGCATAAGAGAAGAAGTTTTTGGGTTTCTTTCAATTTTCTTTATGACTTTTAGTTCTTCCTGAGATTCTTGTCTCCTGTAAGATTTCTTAAGCTTAAATTCAATATTTGCTATTTCTTTAACCCATGCGTCCCTTCGTATTTCAGATATACTGGCCCCTCTCAGCAGCTCTGTGATTCTTCACCTTCACCTGTATAGGGAGCATCTCTTTCTCTTTCTAGTTTACATCTTCTCTTTCTTTTTCTTAATGGAATGTGCCTTGAGCAGACCTCAAATGCCACAGAGTTAATTTTTTCTAGGCAAAGGTTCCTATCCATGTTGTTTAGGATATCTTCCCAGCTTGTTTCATTTAGGATATGGTTGACTTGTTCCCATTGTGTTTTTGTTATTAAAGTTGAATTTTGTGAAGCCACCCTCATAAACTGATCACATTTTGCTGGTCAGGAGCCCTGCGCATACATGTCTCTACCTCTGTTATGTTGTGATCTGAGTGTATTGTCTTTGTTACAGTTAAATTATGTATCGGATCATCATTGTTAGTGAAGATGAGGTCCAGCATATTTTCTAGTCTTGTAGGCTCTAATATTTACTGGTTTAAGGTGAATTTGGTTGAGAGATTTAATAGCTCGTGTGTGTGTGAATTTTCATCTGAGCTGCCAGCTGGGGTAATCTCTGCTAAAATATTATTTGCTACACTCCTCCATTTTAGGTGTCTCAAGTTGAAATCCTCCAGTAGAAAGATGCATGGGGCAAGAGTTGGAAGATTTTCCAGACAGTGTTCAATTTTCAAAAACTGTTCCTGGAATTGCTGGGAAGCTGCACCTGGAGGCTTGTATACAACCACAGTGACAAGGTTTTGGTTTTCAGTCTTTACTGCCAAAACTTCAACTACATCATTTGAGGTGTTTAGTAGTTTTGAGCAAATGAGCGACTCATTGACATACAAGCTGACCCCCCCCCCCCATGTTGCCTGTTTAGTCTGTCGCATCTGAATAGGTTATAACCTGGGATCCATATTTTGTTATGTGGGTCTCTGTGAAAGCTGCAAACATTGTATTTGAAGTTGATTTGGTTATAAAATATAGACATATCAGTACATATGCATACAATTTTTATTTTGGTATAAATATGATTGTTATGTATGTCAGAGCATTATTTCAGGATACTCTCTCCCCATCTTCATGCCAATGATGTACCCTCCATAGAATCTACATTACTAACAAAACAGTTAACTGAGTACGTATTTAGACATTTGGGAATAGATGTGTCAGCAGATGGGTCTAAAAGATGAGATGAACCATAGAATATGAGGGGAAAATGTAGATGGCATGTTGAGGAATCTGTGGTAAGACAGTTTATCACTGGTAACAACAAAAAAAAAAAAAAAAGTGCCAGAGCACAAACACTTTCCTCTGGGTGTGAGGCATGGGTTTTGAATGCTGCAGCAAGGAGACTAGAGGCAGTGGATATGTCATGTTTGAGAGCAGTATGTGGTGTGACCATCATGCAGAGCATAGAAATTGACAAGCTATGTGGGTTGACCAAGGATATAATTTGAAGGGCTAAGGAGGAATTGTTGGGGTGATTTGGGCATGTAGAGAGTATGGAGAGGGCTATGTTGATAAAGTGAATGTATGATATATCTAGAGAGATAGGGGCCATCCCAAAAACTGTTAGAGGGAGGAGTAAAGGAAGCTGAGTTTTAAGGGTTTAAGCATTCAGCAGGCTTATGCAAACATGTTTGATAGGAGTGAATGGCAACAAGTAGTTTTTTAATGGAGGTGAGCAAAGTAACTCTTATGACACAAGTGCAACTAATGTGACATTTTATTGTGGCAATGTTTCGCTTTCCAGGAGCTTTGCCACAATAAAATGTCACATTAGTTGCACTTGTGTCCTTTTATTTTACGTATTGTCGGTAATTCTACCAACATTATTACTAACTCTTATGAAGGGATTCAGGGAAACTAATTACCTTCTCTTGATCTCTAGGGGTGGGAATGACAGTCCTTGCACTCTGAAGGAAGGAAGGGTAGGTGTGTTTCAGTCAGAGGGTAGTTTGAATTATGATGTCAGCACACTTTTGGCAAGACAGCAATAGTAAGTTTATTTAGGTACAGGTAGGCATAAGTACACTTATCACTCTGCCTTAGTGGGAAATGGCCAACATGTTAAAAAAAACAAGTCAGACAGTGACTTATTTCTAGTATGGCATGAATGATGACAAATGTGTTTTCTTCTCTGGAGGAAAAGAGGAGAGAGATGACTCTTGAAGTAAAAAAAAATTTACGCTGTTAATGTAAAACAGTATTTATACATTAATATGCATAGTATATACAGTATCATAATTTCTTTTGCAGAAGGAATGTTAACTGGAATATAAAGTTCCCTCAGAGCCTAAAGTGCTGATGGAGGAGGTACAAAATGTTTATAGTATTGTGATAAAGAATCATTGATAATTAATTTAGGGCAGACAGACACTTGCTGGTAGTCATGCAATTGTATGAAACTGTACTACTGCACATGTGTGTATGTAAGCATCACTTACTCTTCTCTCGCTTCATTCATTTATACTTTAATCTCCCATCCATTCTTGCTGTGCCTCACTGGAAATGTGCAGTGCTATAGATTTCGTGCTGTATACTCTATATCATAATATAAAACTTTATACTGTATTATAATGCACTTCTGGATTTTACATACAACACTGATTAAGGTATGATATGAGTTTTATTTCTTTTATATCCTCCTATTCCTAATTTTGCAAATTACAGTTGCATTTTTTTTTTAAATTTACTCTATATTGTTTACATATTGCCAATATACCCAGTAATTGTACTTAGGATCTGCATATATCTAGCATTTGTACTATAGTATATGGTATCAAGAAGATTTTTAAGGTTGATAACAAATCAATATTACATTTTTAATGTCCATAAATTCAAAACTTTCACTGTGCATTCATTGGCAGCTCAGACACCTGAGTCTTGAATTGTTTTGTAAGTGCACAACTTAATACAGGTGTAAGAGTAATAGAGACAAAACTTAAATTTCATATCAAGAAGAACTGTTTTTAATCTATTTTCATATCACTTATAACTTTTTTTCTTTTTTAACTGTTCAGTTACTGTTTCAATTACTCCGATATGGTAAACATGAGGAAATTAAAACTTCATCAGAGTATAAAACAAATTCCATCCACACAATAGAGCGAAAAACTGACGTCAAAGACCTAGGGGTGATCATGTCGGAGGATCTCACCTTCAAGAACCATAACATTGTATCAATCACATCTGCTAGAAAAATGACAGGATGGATAAAAAAACTTCAGAACTAGGGATACCAAGCCCATGATGACACTCTTCAGGTCACTTGTTCTATTTAGGCTGGAATATTGCTGCACACTAACAGCACTTTTCAAGGCAGGTGAAATTGCAGACCTAGAAAATGTACAGAGAACCTTCATGGCATGCATAACTGAGATAAAACCCCTCAATTACTGGGAGCGCTTGAAGTTCCTGAACCTGTACTTCCTGGAATGCAGGCAGGAGAGATACATGATTATATACACCTGGAAAATCCTAGAGGGACTAGTACCAAACTTGCACACGAAAATCATTCTCTCTGAAAGCAGAAGACTCGGCAGACGATGCAACATCCCCTCAATGAAAAGCAGGGGTGTCACTAGCATGCTAAGAGACAACACAGTAAGTGTCAGGGGCCCAAGACTGTTCAACTGCCTCCCAGCATACATAAGGGGGATTACCAATAGGCCCCTGGGTGTCTTCAAGCAGGCACTGGACAGGCACCTAAAGTCAGTACCTGGCCAGCCGGGCTGTGGCTCGTACGTTGGATTGTGTGCAGCCAGCAGTAACAGCCTGGTTGATCAGACCCTGATCCACCATGAGGCCTGATCACAGACTGGGCCGCGGGGGCGTTGACCCCCGGAACTCTCTCCAAGTAAACTCCAGGTAAACTGGCCACAAATACAGGCACAAGAAGATATATCATCGTATATCCTAAATTCTAAAGTCATCAACTAAAGCTTGTAATAATTCTTTTATTATTAACCCCTTTGACTGTTTCGGTCGTATATATACGTCTTACGAGCCACCATGTTTGACGTATATATACTCAAAAATTCTAGCAGCTTCAAATCAAGCAGAAGAAAGCTGGTAGGCCCACATGTGAGAGAATGGGTCTGTGTGGTCAGTGTGCACCATATAAAAAAAATCTATCAGCACGGAGTGCATAATGAGAAAAAAAAAAATTCCGACCGTGTTTTTGGACTAAAACGCCCACTTGTAGTGTACTGTATTTTCGTATAGTATTTATGGATGTACAGTGGACCCCCGCATAACGATATTATTTCAATCCAGAAGTCTGTTTGGGTGCCGTTATAGACCGAATTTGTTCCCATAAGAAATATTGTGAATTAGATTAGTCCGTTTCAGACCCCTAAAAATACACCTAAAAAAGCACTTACAAAAATAAACTTACATAATTGGTCGAGTCGGGAGCTGATCGTTATGCGGGGGTCCACTGTATTCTCATTTTCTTGGTTTCATTTGATAGAATAGAAAACAAATTATAGAAATAGAGGTATTTTGATTGGTTTTACTATGAAAAGAACCTTGAAATGGAGCTCAAAGTAGGGGAAATGTTTGATTTTTGCCTATGTTCAAAAGTAAACAAGTGATGTCATTTTCTAATAAATGTCCAAGTAGCCATTCTAATATACAGTCATGAATGAGTTGACATTATTTATACAATTATTACAATATTGCAGTAGTCTGCATAACAGTAAATCTTCTATTTTTTGTTTGAATAAAAATTCAAAATAGAAAGCAAGAGTAATATCAGAGGGGCCTGAAGACATGACTGATGAGCAAAGAAAATGTTATTTTAGAACCAGGAATGTCTGCATTGTTCATTCTGGACCCTATTTTGAAACTGGCATATTTTTTAATTTGTGTGAAACTGACCAAATTGCAAATTTCTGACCACGTTATTGGGTAGTTGAAATCGGTAAATGGGCAGTTTCTTGTACTCAATCGCTAGAACAAATGGAGTTCTAAAGAAATAGCTATGAGTTACGTCGACTGGAACAATGGAATTAGCCAAAAATAGGGCTCAAAGTGGGCGAAATCGCCGATTCTTAAATATTGCCGAGGTCCCTAACTTCGCAAGAGCGTAATTCTGTAAGTTTTCAATCAAATTTAATTCTTTTGGTGTCATTACCATCGGGAAAGGATTCTCTATCATTTCGTAAGTTTTTTTTTTTTTTTTTTTCTTTCAACACCAGGAGACACCTCAGGATTTGGAGTTGCAACAGTCAAAGGGTTAACACATCAGCTGTTTCCCACCAAAGCAGGGTGGCCTGAAAAAAGAAAAACTTTCATCATCATTCACTCCATCACTGTCTTGCCAGAGGCATGCCTACACTACAGTTATAAAACTGCAACATTAACACCCCCTCCTTCAGAGGGGTGTTAATGTTTGCAGGCTGGACTCAAATCCAGCCTGCCAGTTTCCCTGAATCCTTTCATAAATGTTACCTTGCTTACACTTCCACAGCATGTCAAGTCCTAAAAACTATTTGTCTCCATTCGCTCCTGTCTAACATGCTCACGCACGCTTGCTGGAAGTCCAAGCCTCTCGCACACAAAACCTCCTTTACCCTCTCCCTCCAACCTTTTTTAGGCCGACCCCTACCCCGCCTTCTCTCCACTACAGACTTGTATACTCTCGAAGTCATTCTATTTTGTTCCACCTTCTCTACATGTCCAAACCATCTCAATAACTCCTCCTCAGCCCTCTGGATAATAGTTTTGGTAATCCTACACCTCCTAATCTCCAAACTACGAATTCTCTGCATTACATATACTCACAAGGTACATTGTCCTCAGACGTGACATCTCCACTGCCTCCAGCCTTCTCCTTGTTGCAACATTCACAATCCATGCCTCACATCCATTCAAGAGCATTGGTATAAATATACTCTCATATATTCCCCTCTTTGCTTTCATGGATAAAGTTCTTTGTCTCCACAGACTCCTCAGTGCACCACTTGCCTTTTTCCCCCTTGTCAGTTCTGTGGTTCACCTCATCCTTCATAGACCCATCTGCTGACACATCCACTCCCAAATATCTGAACACATTCACCTCCTCCATACTCTCCCCCTCCAGTCTGATATCCAGTCTTCTGTTACCTAATTTTTTTGTTATCCTCATCACCTTACTCTTTCCTATATTCACTTTTAACTTCCTTTTTTTACATACCCTACCAAATTCATCCACCAACCTCTGCAACTTCTCTTCAGAGTCTCCCAAAAGCACAGTGTCATCAGCAAAGAGCATCTGTGACAACTCCCACTTTGTGTTGGATTCATTATCTTTTAACCCCATACCACTTGCCAACACCCGAGCATTCACTTCTCTTACTACTGTATCTATAAATATATTGAGCAACCATGGTGACATCACACATCCTTGTCTAAGGCCTGTTTTTACTGGAAAATAATCTCCCTCTCGCCTACATACTCTAACCTGAGCCTCACTATCCTCGTAAAAACTTCTCACCGCTTTCAGTAACCTACCTCCTATTCCATACATTTGCAACATCTACCACACTGCCACCCTATCCACCCTATCATATGCCTTTTCCAAATCCATAAATGCCACAAAAATCTCTTTACCCTTATCTAAATACTGTTCACCTATGTGTTTCACTGCAAACACTTGGTCTATGCACCCCTACCTTTCCTAAAGTCTCCTTGTTCATCTGCTATCCTACTCTCCATTTTACTCATAATTCTGTCATTAATAACTCTACCATACACTTTACCAGGTATACTCAACAGACTTATTTGCCTATAATTTTTACACTCTTTTGACCCCTTTGCCTTTATACAAAGGAACTATACATAGTCAGTTAATTCTCATGTTGTTTCTTATTGCAGTACCAGTATAATTAATGTCTTGGTCTCATGAAAAATTTCTTCCAGCAAGCTGCATTGTCCAGAACTGGAAGACTAATTTTAGCACATCGCCCATGCCGTGCCCTTTCTGTCGTCAAGAGGTTAGTCTGCCTCAGTTATCCTGTTTTTGCTTTTAGTTTCAGTTATTTAAATTATTTTAACTATGTTTAAGATCATTAATTTTAGGCATTAAGTATGTCTTGAATGAAAATGAAATATTGTATGGTAATTTTTTTGTCATTTAGTCTTTGCTCTCACACTTATAGAGAAAATTATTCCTACCATTTCAGGTAACTCTACTATTGCCATGTTTTTCTGAAGGTGAAACAAACACAGCGGAACTGTCAGAGGTGGAAGAAAGGGAGCGCATAATGGTCGATGTGAGGCAGTACAATCGCATGTACTCTGAGCACCCTAGATCAGTGAGTATAAATTGTTATGTTTAAAACATTATATTCTACTTTTTCTTCTAACACCTTGGTATTTTTGTAATCTTTAAAGATCTATGATATTCACTACTCTTCAAATTATCTCCCTTAATACCTCATGTACCTTACTCTTTATCTTGGATCATTTATTCTGTGTTTCTTTTTATCAAATTTAAACAGTGGAGAACACATAACACAAAAACCAACATGGAGGAAGAAGGAGAGGCAGGGTAAACTGACAACTGTATATTTCACCTTCAAATTGAGACCTTTAATCCCTTTACTGTTCAAAGCCTTGAAAATAAAAGTACAGTGTCCACATTTAATTAAAAAAAATTCTTCTGAAATAGTAGAGAATCTTTTTCTGAAAGTAATGACACTAGAAGTACGAAATTTGGTGGAAAACTTATAGAATACATAGGCACAAATTTAACAGTCTGGGCACAATTTAAGCATTGGTGATTTCACTCACTTTGAGTTCATTACTCAATTTGACTAAATTCTTAGCTATTTTGCTAATATGTCTTGCATTCAGTTGATTGAACATAAGAAACTGCCTATTCAACTTTCAGAATTACTCTATAAAGTGCATAGAGTTTGATAATTTGACTAATTTTACAAAAAAAAAAAAAATTTGCAATTTAACTCTTTCAGTGGCCATCACATAAAACTACATCATTTGAGGACAGGGCTCCTCACATGAGCTCAGCTGTCTCAGATAAGCTGTGAACAGTAAATTTTGGCTTGGATATGAGAGAATGGGTCTGTGCATTGAGGGTTCATAGGATAAAATAAAAATCCTGCCCCACACAGTGCATGATGGGAAAAACAAAACTCTGACCATGTGCTTGGTTTAAAATAGTGACTTTTAGCTGTTTTCTTGAATGATTTTCGTGGATTTATTGGCAGTTTCTTAGTGTCATTTGATAGACTAGAAAACATATGTACTCCCTAATAGAGATAATTTTGGTTGGTTTCAGATAGGAAGTAGCTTGAAATTGGGCACAAAATAGTGGAAATATTTAATTTTTGTCAATTTTCCTGAAGATGGGTAAAGCCTCCCTTACACCCCTAGTCTGTTTTATGGGTAAAATTTAGCAAGTCTGATTCAATTATTGGGATGCCATAAACCATGACCTAACATTCCTGGTTATATTTTGTATCTGGGAAATGAGAGTAAATCTATTTTTGTGTGATTATGAATTCAGAATGAAAAGGAAGTGTAATATAGGAGAGGCCTGTAGACATAATATTTAACCCCTTGACTGTCACAACCCCAAATGCTGAGGTGTCTCCTGGTGTCACAAAATTTCCGAAAAAAATTATTTTTTCTTATGAAATGATAAAGAATCTATTTCCAATTGTAATGACACCAAAAGAACGAAATTTGATGGAAAGCTGACGGAATTACGCTCTTGCAAAGTTAGCAACCTTGGCGATATTTACGAATCGGCGATTTCACCCACATTGAGCCCTGTTTTTGGCTAATTCCATTGTTCCAGTTGACCAAACTCATACCTATTTCTTTAGAACTCCATTTTTTCTATCAATTAAGTACAAGAAACTGCCCATTTATCAATTTCAACTACCCAATAACGTGGTCAGAAATTTGCAATTTGACCAGTTTCATGAAAATTAAAAAATATGACAATTTCAAAATAGGGTCCAGAATGAACAATGCAGACATTCCTGGCTCTAAAATAACATTTTCTTTGTTCATCAGTCACATCTCCAAGCCCCTCTGATATTACTCTTGCTTTCTATTTTGAATTTTTTTTTCAAACAAAAAATAGAAGATTTACTGTTATGCAGACTACTGCAATATTGTAATAATTGTATAAATAATGTCAACCCATTCATGACTGTATATTAGAATGGCTACTTGGACATTTATTAGAAAATGACATCACTTGTTTACTTTTGAACATCGACAAAAATGAAGCATTTCCCCTACTTTGAGCTCCATTTCAAGGTTCTTTTTATAGAAAAACCAATCAGAATCACCTCTATGTCTATAATATGTTTTCCATTCTATCAAATGAGACCAAGAAAATGAGAATACAACAATAAATACTATATGAAAATAGACCACAAATTCGGCATTTTAATTAAAAAAACTGTCGGAGTTTTTTTTTTTTTCTCATTATGCACTGCGTGCTGCAGGATTTTTTTTTTATATGGTGCACACTGACCACACAGACCCATTCTCTCACATGTGGGCCTACCAGCTTTCTCCTGCTTGATTTGAAGCATATATATACGTATATATACGACCAAAACAGTCAAAGAGTTAATATAGACATTTTCATTAAACCTTTGACTGTCGAAAGGCCCAATCCTGAAGTGTCTCCTGGTGTCGCAACATATTCGAAAAAAACAAAAATTCTTATGAAAATGTTAAGATTATTTTTCTGATTGTTTTAGTCCCCCAAAAAAATTTTCCCATCAGTACTTAACGAGATATAGAGGTGTGAAGTTTGCTGAAAATGATCTGTGAATGGCAACAGCTGCGACTGCCGCTCACTCGGTAAACTTTGATTTACTTGTATTCGATGATTTCTTGTTTTTTTCACTATTTTATTTTTTCACATAACTTTTGTGTAGGTAGTAGGTTGGTAGACAGCAACCACCCAGGGAAGTACTACCGTCCTGCCAGATGACTGTGAAACAGAAACCTGTAACTGTTTTGCATGATGGTAGGATTGCTGGTTTCTTTTTCTGTCTCATAAACACACTAGATAACAGGGATATCTTGCTACTCCTACTTACACTTTGGTCACACTTGACAGACACGCACATGCATATATATATACATACATCTTCTGTATTTCTTCTATTGTCCATGGGGAAGTGGAAAAGAATCTTTCCTCCGTAAGCCATGCGTGTCGTATGAGGCGACTAAAATGCCGGGAGCAATGGGCTAGTAACCCCTTCTCCTGTAGACACTTACTAAAAAAGAGAAGAAGAAAAACTTTATAAAACTGGGATGCTTAAATGTGCGTGGATGTAGTGCGGATGACAAGAAACAGATGATTGCTGATGTTATGAATGAAAAGAAGTTGGATGTCCTGGCCCTAAGCGAAACAAAGCTGAAGGGGGTAGGAGAGTTTCAGTGGGGGGAAATAAATGGGATTAAATCTGGAGTATCTGAGAGAGTTAGAGCAAAGGAAGGGTAGCAGTAATGTTAAATGATCAGTTTATGGAAGGAGAAAAGAGAATATGAATGTGTAAATTCAAGAATTATGTGGATTAAAGTAAAGGTTGGATGCGAGAAGTGGGTCATAATAAGCGTGTATGCACCTGAGAAGAGAGGAATGCAGAGGAGAGAGAGAGATTTTGGGAGATGTTAAGTGAATGTATAGGAGCCTTTGAACCAAGTGAGAGAGTAATTGTGGTAGGGGACCTGAATGCTAAAGTAGGAGAAACTTTTAGAGAGGTGTGGTAGGTAAGTTTGGGGTGCCAGGTGTAAATGATAATGGGAGCCCTTTGATTGAACTTTGTATAGAAAGGGGTTTAGTTATAGGTAATACATTATTTTAAGAAAAAGAGGATAAATAAGTATACAAGATATGATGTAGGGCACAATGACAGTAGTTTGTTGGATTATGTATTGTAGATAAAAGACTGTTGAGTAGACTTCAGGATGTACATGTTTATAGAGGGGCCACAGATATATCAGATCACTTTCTAGTTGTAGCTACACTGAGAGTAAAAGGTAGATGGGATACAAGGAGAATAGAAGCATCAGGGAAGAGAGAGGTGAAGGTTTATAAACTAAAAGAGGAGGCAGTTAGGGTAAGATATAAACAGCTATTGGAGGATAGATGGGCTAATGAGAGCATAGGCAATGGGGTCGAAGAGGTATGGGGTAGGTTTAAAAATGTAGTGTTAGAGTGTTCAGCAGAAGTTTGTGGTTACAGGAAAGTGGGTGCGGGAGGGAAGAGGAGCGATTGGTGGAATGATGATGTAAAGAGAGTAGTAAGGGAGAAAAAGTTAGCATATGAGAAGTTTTTACAAAGTAGAAGTGATGCAAGGAGGGAAGAGTAATGGAGAAAAAGAGAGAGGTTAAGAGAGTGGTGAAAGCAATGTAAAAAGAGAGCAAATGAGAGAGTGGGTGAGATGTTATCAACAAATTTTGTTGAAAATAAGAAAAAGTTTTGGAGTGAGATTAACAAGTTAAGAAAGCCTAGAGAACAAATGGATTTGTCAGTTAAAAATAGGAGAGGAGAGTTATTAAATGGAGATTTAGAGGTATTGGGAAGATGGAGGGAATATTTTGAGGAATTGTTAAATGTTGATGAAGATAGGGAAGCTGTGATATCGTGTATAGGACAAGGAGGAATAACATCTTGTAGGAGTGAGGAAGAGCCAGTTGTGAGTGTGGGGGAAGTTCGTGAGGCAGTAGGTAAAATGAAAGGGGGTAAGGCAGCTGGGATTGATGGGATAAAGATAGAAATGTTAAAAGCAGGTGGGGATATAGTTTTGGAGTGGTTGGTGTAATTATTTAATAAATGTATGGAAGAGGGTAAGGTACCTAGGGATTGGCAGAGAGCATGCATAGTTCCTTTGTATAAAGGCAAAGGGGATAAAAGAGAGTGCAAAAATTATAGGGGGATAAGTCTGCTGAGTATACCTGGTAAAGTGTATGGTAGAATTATTATTGAAAGAATTAAGAGTAAGACGGAGAATAGGATAGCAGATGAACAAGGAGGCTTTAGGAAAGGTACGGGGTGTGTGGACCAGGTGTTTACAGTGAAACATATAAAGTGAACAGTATTTAGATAAGGCTAAAGAGGTCTTTGTGGCATTTATGGATTTGGAAAAGGCATATGACAGGGTGGATAGGGGGGCAATGTGGCAGATGTTGCAAGTGTATGGTGTAGGAGGTAGGTTACTGAAAGCAGTGAAGAGTTTTTACGAGGATAGTGAGGCTCAAGTTAGAGTATGTAGGAAAGAGGGAAATTATTTCCCAGTAAAAGTAGGCCTTAGACAAG